CCCCCCCCTTGCGTTTTTTCAAAAATATTTTAATGACACTGTCGAAGACGTACAAATCGCTACCTCAGAATTGCAAAATTCTATCTAGTGACGTTGGTGGCCTAGTGGTTTGACTACCGGACTCGTAATTGTGAGATTGCAGGTTCGGGGGTTCGAGTGGCGGGCCCGACGTTGTGTCCTTGGGAAAGGCACTTTACATGAATTTTCCTCACTTCATCCAGGTGGGAATGGGTACCCGGCTATAGACAGCGAAAGATCGAGTTAGTATGTTAGTGTTTCTGCGCCTATAAATGGGCAGCTTAGCTTGCACTGTATGCTTCCCAGGAAGTTGAGGTTGTTTCAGAATGCTCTCAGGTCTGCTGTGGTAATAGTATAGATTGTGAAGCGCATAGAGCTTGCTGTTGAGCGGGTATTTGCGGTATACAAATGCAATCTATTGTTATTACTACCTAGTTTTGATAAATCTGACATCAACGATTTTGAGTTTCACATCATGCCAAGCTTTTTCGAATGTAATTCTTTGAATATACCTTAATAACGACTCCGAATACATCTGACGATTTTGACGGAGCAGATAGAACATTTGTGAGGCAGCGTGGTGGAATCAGGCTCTCGTCAAAATAATAAAAGTGAAAAAACATGCATTTTTCCACAGGTTTGTGAATTTTAATCATATTTTTGGTTTTTGGTTCAACACAGTTCATGCTCATTAAAGAACTCGTTTCTGGGTGGACTTTTCTGAAAAACGTTGAATAAAGGCACAAAAAATGTAAATTTTCAGTTACCACGGACTCTTAAGCTAAGGAAATAACTAATCTTTGGCGGACATTTTCTCCCTAATTTTACTTCTGAAAACAGATGACCCCCACCTCCTTCATTGGCAAATATCTCAACTTGCATTCACGATAAATGGATATTTTTTGCATCCAAATAAAAACAAGTGAACAAGCTTTATGAGGGTACCAATAACTATACATGCCCAAAAATTGACGAGAGCCTGATTCCACCACGGCGCCTCACATTTGGTTTTTGTTCTCATGGTATTAGATCTAGTACGTGTAACTCAAAATGGCCAAAAAATGTCAGACAAAACTTTGTAATTCTAAGGTAGCGAAATGTCAAAGACACCCACTTCTCTCCTCGATAACTGATGGCCGCCTTGGAGAATTTGACTGTAGTTCGATCCCCTATTCTCCCTTTATTTTTTAAAAAACACTATCCGTACGCCGAGTTTTACTATCGTGTCCATACGACGTTGGGAACTCTGTGCCACCACTTTGAAAGAGGAAATTTACTCGTTAATCCGATCCTTACCCTTTGCATAGCAGTCTGTCAAAATGATTCTTTTGAGAATTACTGAAAGTTTCAAAGAGATCTTCGTACTAGAAGTATTCTAAAATCTGAAGAATACAACCCCGGGGGTACAAAATGACCCTGGGGCGTATGGATAGGGTTAAACAATATACTCACATACAATTATATTTCTGTGCTCTTCATCCACAGGTTACTGGTTGTGCTACATCAACAGCACGATCAACCCGCTGTGCTACGCTCTCTGCAACGTCAACTTCCGAAAAACCTTCTGGAGAATTCTTACCTGTCAGTGCAGGAAGAGGCGTGGCTCGCTCCATAGGATGGTACTTCCGGCAACACACATCAACAACCTCATACCTCGATGACCTCCCCTTGTCCAATTTTCACGATAATCGCCCTTGCGTTCACGCAGACGCGAGAATACACTCATCCCGCAGAGTGATGACGTCACTGCCTCCTTCTCGGCACTTTTGCCTGAGATCAGCGACATACAGCTGCTGCTGTCTTCTTGGTTTGCACGCGAGCTGCAGAGTGCTGTTTTACAGTTTTAAACAGCTTTATTTTGCTGAAACCAAAGTGCGTAACCGAAGACCAGTCGGATACAGCGGAGCGGAGTGCACAACAAACCATTGGCGTAGGCCTAGATGCCTCGTACAGGCTGGTATATGCCGCCTGAAATCGGCGTTGGCTTGACCTATCAAGAGCTCTAAGCTCTTCAAAACACTATAAACTTTGACAGAAATTGTCTTCACAGCTATAAGTGAAGTTTTTTTTGGTTTGTCCGCTTGTTTTTAAATATAATAATATGTCTCTGAGCCTGTACCCTTACACATGCTACGTAGTTTTATCGTGTTGTTGTTTTAGGTTGATATTTTATAATACTATGAAATATGATATAATTTGTGTTGTGATAGATTCTCCTGTTCTCGAATTTGGTCGAGAAGTGATTCAGGGGACCTTTCTTTTTGTTGTTTGTTTTATGTTTCAAGAGCATGTGTTTAAGACCACTTTAGTTGGAGCTCTTTTGTTGTGAATATTCTCCTTTTCGAAGATCTTACGTTTTATGAGTATGAAGCTTAGATACCGTGCTTATTTCTTTTATTGCCTAAAAATATGGCACTTCTAATTACTGATATTTTTTTCAACCACAAAAACGGTGCAAAGTAATACATTTATTGAATTATATTTACTTGCATTGTTTAAAAACTCTATAGAGAACATCGGTTTCATTTTTGGGCTTACCTGTGAGTATGCCTTTTACGTCTATTGGACTGATTATTTAAAGTATGAGAGTTGTTCTCCCTGGATTTGTTAATTTATCTTTAAGTTTACTTTTCTTCTTTAATCAAGATTATTAACAATGTAGAAATATAAAAAGACGCAGATCTTGTCGAGTCTTTGCTAAAACGTGCAATCTGTTGTAAAATGGTTTACAAAATATCAAAATTATTAAGGTCTTAACTTGTGTGTGTTGTGTTTATGTGTGTGTGGGGTGGGATGGATGGGAGGGGGGTGCTTCCACCTTCCTTGCCAGGGATAATGCAGTGTGTGGGAAAGAAATGTTTTTAAAAATCTGTTTCTAATTGACAGTATTTGTCACATGGCACCATGAACTGATAAAAGATTCAAAAGGATTCGCATAATATCATTTGAGCAGTTGTTTGGGTAGCCTACTTTTCGTTTTATTTTTGCTACTTTTCTATTATTATGTTTTCTGAGCTACAGGAGAAGTTGCTCTTATAACACAGACCCAGAAGCATGATAGTCTATGTTATGCCTTGAACATCTTTAACAGATTGGGAACATTCAAATCATTTATTATTTGGGTGGAAGAGTGAATCAGCGCTGTAAGGACCAAAGGCTGTGTTGCGGAGCATTCAAACGATCGTACATAAATAAGAAACATTAATCTATATATCTCATAGTATGCATGATGTCATTACAGACATGGTCGACGCAACTCCCCCCCCCCCCTCATTTCCCCCATTCCTAAATGACATAAATTGTGTCAATGAGGGTGTAAGACACCTATACGCAATTGAAGTTACTTTTTTAAAATTTGTGATATTGTATTTGAAGGGATTAAACAAAGATTTCTCTAAGAGAACTTACATTTGAGAAACAAAAATAAATTATGCTTTCATTAGTGCGATATCATTCATGTTGCGCTTGAATTGTCTACTGAATCAACTATCTTGTCTTGAACTGTACATTCATTTGGATGATATTACCAGCAACAGTTAGCCATAATAATATGGAGGGTTAAACCTCTCTTTCAGTACGTATGGATTAGATCGGAACGATTATGTTTTTATTGGTGAATTCTAATCGTTTTCATTTACAATAAACCCAAAATACGCACAATGTTTATAATGAGGTTTTATGTGGCTATTTGATCCTGTCTGAGCCAAGCCAGAAAAACGAAAGAACACTTACATTACGTGTAATCCACTTCTCGTGAATTTATTGGGATGACTAAAGAGGTTTCGGATCGTAGTTTGTAAAATACTATAATGGGCTCAAATAAATGAGAGGCAGCGTGGTGGAATCAGGCTCTCGTCAATTTTTGGACAGGTAGAGTTATTGTTGTCATCTTTAAGCTTGTTCACTGGTCTTTATTTGAATGAAAAAAATATCCATTTATCTTGAATACAAGTAGAGATATTTGCGAATAAAGGAGGTGGGGTCACCTGTTTTCAGAGGTAAAATTAGTGAGAAAATGGCCGCAAAAGATCAGTTATTTCCTTAGCATAAGAGTCTGTGGCAACTGAAAGTTTACACTTATTGCACCTTTAATCAGCGTTTTTCCAATAAATCCACATAGAAATGAGTTCTTTAATGGGCATGAAAGGTGTTGGGCCAAAAAACGAAAATTTGACAAAAATTCACAAACCTGCAGAAAATGCAAGTTTCTGAACTTTGATTATTTTGACGAGAGCCTGATTCCACCACGCTGCCTCACAAATTTCTCCTGCACTTCCAGTCAGTACATTAACTGATTCCATTAAATTTTATGGAATAGAATTCTGAAGAGGAAAGTTGCTCCAAGCTCGTGAACTTATAGTCAGTACAATTTGTAATTTAGTTTCGAGGGTTTTGCTGTAGCTTCTTCATAGCAAGAATATAGCTTGATCGGCAATTAATAATATTTTTTATCCATGAAAAATATGGACCAGTGTTCAGGACAACCGCGATGGAACAAACGAACGTGCAATATTGTGTTGATTGGGGAAATACACCGGCCGTTGTGTGACATCATACTGCCTCTTGTTCTTTTACAATACTTTGTTCTCTCAATTTTCGTCATTCATTTGCTCATTACTCCATAGTATATATTATAATACTTTAGTCTAGTCTGTCTTTGTCGATTATATTATACTGGTTTCGTCTTGTGCTTTAATTTGTTACTTGTTTTTCAAAGCACTCGGGGTCGTGCTTCTGGACTTAATGTTTTGTCATTTATTTGTGCAAGTTGATTTTGCAATAATTTATTATACTTATTTGTTTCTTAATCATTTGATGTTACTGTCAACTGAGTTGACTCGAGATTCTGTTGTAGGTTGAATGTGATAATCCAAAGTTGTTTCGTGTACATGCCACATTTGTGTTATTATACATGAACGTTCTATTTTTTTCAAAGAGATTCTCTGTAGACCAGCAATGCATTCGGTCGCGGATCGGTCGTGAATTAATTTATTTGCGGTTCAGATGCACTGCTCAAGGTTCAAACTAATACACTACAGGATAGCACTGATTAACTCATGTGTAGATGGGACATTAAAGCCACTTTGTTTTGAACTTGTTTTGGTTAAATCAAAATAAAAAAGGAAAGGAAAAGGAATGTGTTTATCACGTTCCTCAAAAACATGTTTTGAGAGTCATTAAACGAGTTGTGTTCTGTCTTGTTTGTTTTTTTTCTTCTTTTTTCCCCCCATATGTTTTTCATTTCGTCTAGGATACTGTCACAAAGGCCAAACCTGCTATACAATTATTGTTGCCAACAGCTGCCTGTTCTGTAGAGCTACCAACCCCCCCTACGACCCCGCCCTCATCCTCTCAACCCCTATCCTGACCCCAATTTCGAAGCCAAACAAAGCGATGCTTTAATGTCGTGATCAATCTCTTCCTTCTCAGTCAGCATTTGTATTGTTCAAAGGAATCAAATGGCCACTACAGCAATTATTTATTGGTTCACATGGGCGTACCTCCCATACATGGATTGTCTTTTTGTAATTTAAACACAACATGTGCTCTTATCTGCATGCCAAAACATGGTCAGCTGTATGGGGGAAAACGAGGATTGTGTCATGTATCTCTCATGTTCTAGCTTTGAGTCAAAGTAGGGAAAAAAGAAGATATGGTTAATATTCCATTTTTGATGATAACGATATCCCCTGTCAATCCTTACCCATTCCCTAAAAGTTTGAAATCTTAAGTTTGAAATCTTAAGTTTGAGTTACAGTAACAACAATACTTTTATGCTGCTACTACAAATGTGTCTCGACGTGGTGCAATCAAGCGCTCGTCAACTTTTGGGTACCGTATATAATGGAGTTACAGGTATCATCTTAAAGCTTTTCCATTTGCTTCACTTTAAATGGAAAAAGAAATTCATCTATTTGAATTTTTTAACGTCGAGATATTGTTTGCTATTGAAGGAGGCGGGGGTTCCTTGGTGTCAGAGGTAAAATTAGAGAGAAAACGGACGCAAAATAAAGTTTGGAGGGGGGGGGGTGTTACGTTGCCTATAAGAAACTATTTAAAAAAGACAAGAACCGGAACCCCCCCCCCTCCCGTTTTCCTCTTTCCCTTTAAAAAGATCCCACGCAAACAACGGTAGCAACATGTACAGTCATGTATGAGTGCTTTACAAGTTTGAAGAATGGTCGCTGGGTCCAACTACGTTTACTAGTCTTTTTTGCTCACCTTCAGCAATGTCTTTTACACGGTGGAATCAGACGCTCGTCAGTTTGTTTCGGGCTCAAGAGGTTATTGGTATCATCTTAAAGTTTGCTGATTTGTCTTGTTTTTGATGAAAATAAAACCCATCTATCTTGAACAAAATGTGAACTATCTGCAACAGTATTGACTTAGCGTCACTTAGCGTCAGAGCTGAAATTAGCGGAAAATGGCCACCCAAGTTTGGAAAAATCCAAATCCTGAGAGTCCTTGATTACTTCAAATTTACATTTTTTGTACCACTAATCAACATTTGTTTTGTAAAATCCACTCAGAAATGTGTTTTTATATAGTGATAAAATGTGTTGTGCTAAAAAAAGGAAAGGAGGAGATTAGATAGAATTTACCCAACGGAGGAAAAAATCCCCCTTTCTTCGAATTCATTATCTTGACGAGCGCCTGATTTCACCACGACACCTCACCCCTTGTCAAAACGTCTATGCTACCCTGTAACAACTGTGCCGTCTTTGGTCGTGTCCTCTCAAAGTTACAAACTGCGAACTCTGACCTATAGGCCCCCCCCCCCCTCCTTTTAATTTACAAAAGAAGGATCCTAGACTTGAATTGTAAAATTATTATCTCAGATCGTGCACTGTCCTCACCACCGCTGTTTGTGCTCTACAAAAATAATAGTGTCTCGATGTGGTACAATCAGGCGCTCGTCAACTTTTGGGTATATGGAGTTACTGGTGTAATCTTACAGCTTTCCGATTTGTTTCACTTTTAATGGAAAAAAAATATCCACCTATTTGATTAAAATTCGAGACACTGTTTGCAATTGAAGGAGGTGGGGTGGGGGTGGGGGTTCCCTTGTGTCAAAGGTAAAATTCTAGAGAAAATGGCCGCAAAGGTTTGGTGAATTCCTATGCTTGAGTGTCCTTGGTAACTGCAAAACTACACTTTTTGTGCCATTGATCAATGTTTTTCTGAAAATCTGCATAGAAATACAGAATTATGTTTTTAAATAGAAATAAAAGGTGTTGGCTAAAAGGAAAAGAAAAATATATAAATACTGCCCAATATGTAGAAAAATGTCACTTTTTTTTTCAATATCCCCATTTTTGATGAGCGCCTGATTTCACCACGATGCTGCATAAATACAATACACTTCGTCGTGATGCTTAGACATGGGACACCTGAATGAGGAGCAAAAACACCTGTCTCGATCAAGTCAAGCATGGGTGGCACTTTTCCTCTTGGAATTCATTTGACTCCAAATTGGCCGCTTTTAAGCTCAAGGGGGCTATCCCGAAAAATGCTGTTTTGAGAAAATCGAAGCTACGGTTTTCCCCCCTTGTTCAGCTTTTTTTTTTTTTAAACAAGGAGATTTTTCTCTATAACCAAACAAATCAATGAAACCAAACTTGTCCTCTAGGTAGGGCAATGTCCAATTTTGGTCGATGTCAAGATTTCTGGAAATCCCCGAAATCTGGGTTAGCCCACTTTTTCTTAAAAACGACCAATTGAGACAAGTCGTCGCTACACAAGAATTACAAAGTTCTCTCTGCTCAGTATATTATAGTACCTAGTTTTGAGGAAATTTGACGTAAAGAAATGTTTCACAATATATCTAGCTGTTTTTTTCTGATGCAATTCTTTGAATATCTTGATAACGACACCGAATAATTTACGATTTCGATAGATAGAGCAGATATAGAACATTAAATTAATTTCTGACCCCATTGTCTTAGTAACGGACAAAAATGTCACGTAGATAGAACTTTGTAATTCCATGGTAGCAAAGTGGTGCGCTCCATTCGTGGGAACTGGAATTACGCCTGAGAGCACGATATATAGTGCGGTCAAAATTCGTGGCGCAACTTATTTTCAAATATCGAACATAGGTTCTCCAATTTTTGCGCAGTGACTTGCATCAATTTGTTTTAACAAATCAAAATTTTTGTAAACACCTGCAAGCTGTATTCTAGAAAATTCCTTTATAAATATTAATAAAAAATCCAAGTGGGTGGTTTCCACAGATTTTTAAATGTTTACAGCTGGGGCAATGTTGCGTTTAATAGCAAGTCCGCAGGTTTTTCTAATAGGGACATTATGCTTATTGAACACATGTTTTGAGAGCCATTAGTGCAAAAATGTGTTCTTTATAACAATAATTTCTTGTGACAAGTTTTGCAAGTAAAAATTGTCATTGATGAGCTATGACGTAGGCCATATGCGTAATCAAAATGTGTGTGAGAAGCGGGAAGTGCTGTAAACAATATCATTTTACGTGTGACAGAAAATTCAAGTATTTGGTATAAATTTATGAAAATTGTTCTTGAAAAATATGATTTAGGTTCTAGTAAAGACAAATTTATACAAACTGCTGTGCAAAGTATGGATGACATTGATTCACCGGTTAAAGAGACATTTGAGGATAAGTTGCACCATGAATTTTTGACCGCACTA